GGTGCGCTTGTCAACCCTTGACATTGCTCTTTCATTAGTGTTCCCTTCGTTCATGGTTTAGGCCGTTTTTTTGTCACATCCCCCGCATGTATTTAAATAGGTAGGCTGACAACTAGCTGGCTATACGTTTGTTGTCCGTTTTATTTTGTTCCACATCTAGCTGAAGATGGCACACGGTCATGCTCGAGAACTTGTTCATGAATCATTGCGTACACTGCAGACTAGACAGGCTCTGCCTCGGAACAGCAAAACCAACCATAAGTTTATTGGGAACCACTCTACTGGAGGTAAGTTGACTTGTTTTTCTAGTTGCAGATGTTCTAAACCATTATCTGACCCACCTTTCTGTATACCTGATTATCGCAGAAGCCGGCCACGAAGATGATGCTGACATTGAACCGCCTCGCCGCCATGGTACCGGCCAACGACATAAGCAAGCGAGGCGGAGCCTCGATAACATCAGTAAGGGCTCCACCAGCGGGACAACTGTCGCGGTACAGGGAGCAGGTGTTAAGTCTAAATCCGGCGTGAGTCGCCCACCATTGAACGCTTCTGTTGCGGATGGAAACGTCGTGGCTGTCGGTGGTTCCCCTTCTGCCTCGGGTCCTCCTGCTGCTGCTGTAAACCCTGCTTCCCCTGCTGCTGCTGCTACTACTGGTGCTCCCGGATCTCCCCTTGCTGATGCTGCTGCTGCTCCCGGATCTCCCCTTGCAGCTGCTTCTGACGATGGTCCCCCTGGTGGTGCTGATGTCGCTCCCAATGCTGTTGTCTCTGCCGAGACAGATGCTCCTGAGAAAGGTGCGTGCGTTTTTGTGTTGCTGTTCTGATTTCATTCAGCTCACCGGTAAAACTGTATCGTAACTATTGCGCTATGCATGACTATTTTAAGGTGCACGTGATTGTATCACAACAAGTTCTGGTTTTGTCTTGTTTTTCCCCACCTACAGGAAACGTTGATCAATCCCCGATGGAGATGATTATGTCCTGCGCGAAAGGGAGAGTGTACGCTACTGATGCCGCTCAGTTTGACGAGGAGGCGCGTGCCAAACCGGATGTGAATGAGGAGCTGCGAGTCAAGGCGGAGAGTCAGAAAGCGATTGCCAGGGTCTATCACAAGGAGAACAGTCGCCTCGCTGAAGACCTGAAAAGCGCCCTGGTGCTTTTGACGCACCTTGCAAAGAAGTGCCAGCAAGTGGACTAGTCGACACTCGACTGGAAGGTACTGTGTCATATGCTCAAGTCAGATTTTTGGATAGACACTATTTTGACCCTTTTTCTACGCTACATTTCAGAAATACATCAAGGAAGCCTGCGACGACTTCATGTTCAGCAGGAGATGCTGAATGCTTTAATTAGTAAGTATTGACGGTTCCATTGTCAACGACTTCGTCTCTGTTCATTGTTACTATTGCTTACTCTTTTTTTTTTGTGTGCAGGGAAGGCGGGCTACACTCCCGATGTCAACGGGAGTTGGGTGTGGCCCCGTCCTCGCTTGGGCGGAGCCGACTTAGTGGTCGGGTGAAAGGGGAGTAGCCGACCTACAGCAGTGGGCGAGCTGGTCGACGAGACTGGTCGACCCGCACGGGGGCCACTGCAAGGGCGCCGACTTGGTGAGGGCGCCGACTTTAGGAGATCGACCTGGCAAGGTCGACATGTACGGGCGTCGACTTGGCGACGTCGTCTTGAGGCAGCCAGCTTGGGCGTCCGGCTGACAGAAGTGTGGTCGACCTAGTGGTCGACCAGACGTGGTGGTCGACGAAGGGGTGAGCCGACGTCGACCTCGACAGGGGAGTTTTGGGACGCCGGGCTTGCGCAGTCGGCGACCGACCGAGCTGGTCGATCAGGCGTGGTTGCCCGGTCGACCGGGATACCCGGGCGACGTGTGCGAAGGTCGCCGGGGGTGGTTTCTGCGAGGACGACCTCGGGGGTGGTATCCCGAGGTCGACGTGGCTGGTGGGCGCAGTCGCTGGCGTGGAGTTGACCTGGGCGTCTTCACCGTGCATGTGACGAGGAGTGGTGCACCAACCAGCTGCACGCACCTGCGAAGCAGGTGCACCGTTGTCCTGCGGGTGCAACGCTGTGCAGCCGACTTGCTGCAGCGTTGGCGCACCGCAGACTTGCAACGTTGGCAAGCCGCGACTTTGCACTACTGGAGAGCGCTGTCGACCAAGACGTGCTGGCACGTGGTCGACCGTGCTGCGCTGGCAGTCGACCAGCAACCTTGCTAGATCTGATGTAGTCTGTGTTGCCAATGTTGATGCAATCATTCTGAACCTTTGTTGTCATAATTTCCTAGTGAGACTCTTGCCAATTTCCCTCATAAACTAGCAAGCAGTGTGAGCACTTGGAAACGACTAAGGAACAAACAAACGAGACGATCACTCCCACCCTGTGCCTAGCCCGTAGTCTAGCTCCCGTTGTAGTAGTTATCTCTGCATGGTGCGGTGAGCGTGGACGGCACACGACTTACCTTTCAGTCAGGTCGACGTAGTTGCCACTTACCTAATTCGTGTTCGTAGACCGGCAACTGTACAGAAGTCACTATGGTAGGCACTGTAGTAGACACGGGAGTGGTGGACACCCTGGAGGCACGGCTGGAAAATGCGAGGAGACGTCATGAGGCTAACGAGTATGGCGACTTGCCCTGGGCGGTCGTCAAGGCTGGCATCCGTGCCGTGTGGGCGACGGAGCACCCTTCTCGGCCTGTCTCTCCTCGACCGGTGAACACTGAGGGCGGCGTCGACGCGGGCGTCAACGCCAGTGGTGGCCAAGTTGGCAGCAGTGCGGGAGGCACGTCGAGGCAGCGTGGTGTGATTCACGCCGATGAAGTCGGCGGCGTTCAGGCGCGAGGGCTGCAGTCGCCCGCAGCTGCAGGGTCCTCGCAGGGCGATGTCGGAGGACGTCGAAGTGGTTTGGCACCGATGTCGGCGACCCACGTGACTGCGGGCGGGATTGCACCAAGCTACGTCTACTTCAAGTTTACGCCGGACAGGATCTCGGTCACCCCCCTGCTTGTTGGTCGACCGGATAAACTCACTTGGAAGGAAGCTATTGAGCCCCAGCTGGAGATGGCCGGGCTGATCAGCTTCGCCCGCGGCACCGTGGCGACGCCGGAGGAGATCTACCCCGACTTGCGTGTTGAGTTTTTGCGCAGTGCAGTTGCTGACATTCACGGTCATCTCGCGGTGCTGCTCGCCGGGCGTGCAGATCGCCTTGAAGTCGTGCAGGGAGTACCTTGACGCCGGCCACTGAGCGTGGCGCTTTATTGAGTCGATGTACCAGGTCACCGACAACTTGTTCATTGCCCAACTTGAGGGGCAGCTGACACACCTGCGTATGGGGGACGAGGAGACCGCGACAGACTACTGCAACCGAGCTCGGCGAATTCTCGCCACCATACGGATGGCTGGCGCGCAGTACTCAACGGCATCATACGTCACACACGTCATGCAGGGACTCCCGAGCAGCTACATGTCCATGATTAACGGCAACATTTCAATCATACAGCAAATGATAGAGAATTTATCTCTCGATGTTTCAACTGATATTGTTTCTAGTGGATACGATCGAGGTAAAATCAAAGAGTTTCTATTGAAAGAAGAGGCAAACTTACAAGAAATCTTGTTCGCAGCGAGAGTTTCTAGCTTTAACAAATCCTCGTCAAGCAAAACATAAGCCCGCCTCATTCCGTCGATCTACTTGATCCACTAAGTATCATACCCTAGTTGGGTTTCCGAAAATCCTTCAAACTCAAAGGACCAGCACATCCTGGCTTGCCATCCTGATTGGGCTTGAAAGACTTGTTGATTATTTTCCTCCAGCGGCAACGTCTTGTCTCGTGGTTTGACTTGCCACAGTTTTCAGAGGGCTTGCAAGGCTTTCCTGATCCCTTGGGGGCTTTGGATCCTCCCCCGTTAGGCCTTTTGGGCTAGGACCCAAAAGGTCTGTTGTGGTGCTGGAATGGGCGCTTGTTCTAAGAGCAAGGCTGAGGCCAAGAGCCACTGCCACTAGAGCCTTCCGCCCTAATCTTCTGCTGCTCCTGCTGAGGCCTATTGGAGTAAGCACGGAAATGCACATCCGTTACTATCGCATCCTCCTTGCATTCCTTATATGTGTTCCACTGGTGTTGTCCTTTGGCCATGTGCATGGTCCGGATGTGTTCGAGCAGCGCTTTGAAGAACATCTGAATGAGCTCGCGCTCAGAAAGGGAGTCCTTCAGTAAAAACAACGTACTTTCAAACTCATTGGTGTACTCGTGCACCGGCCTGTCTCCGCATGAGGTGTTATCCAAATGGTTTCACACCTCAAGCTCTGACGTTTGCACCAAGAATGCCAACCTCATCGCAACACAAAACTCCTCCCAACCGAACGGCTCGGACTTGGCCTCAGCTTGCCGCTTGTTAGCATAAATGCGACTAGCTTGCTTGCCTTCTCATCCAATGCGACTGTAGCAGCCACCACATTCGCATCACCACTCACTTAGTGATGAGCCATTATATCAGCTGTTAGGGAGAGCCACATTTCCACATCTGTCTTGCCATGAATGAATCTAGGCAAGGCGGTATTGAGGGAACCAAAGGCAAGTGGCGCGAACCCAGGAGGGTACTACGATGACGCCATAGGTGCAGGTGTTGCTGCTGAGGCAGGTGCTCCAGAAGGAGCAGGAGCTGGACCAGGAGTCGCGACGGGTGTGCTCGTCGATGCTGCAGGACGTGCGACATTAGGAGCAAGGCGTAGACGTTTGCATGCCTCGAATCCCTATACTGAGCTTGCAGCTGCGCGCACATAGCCTGCACCTGTCTGCAAGTCTCCTGCAACTCATTCAACAGGCGAGACTTGGAGGCCAGTATGCGGGTGTGATCGCGAGCATCATGAGCAACATGGCCCAACTGAGCTTTCAAATCGAGGACGTGCGCTTGTTGCACTGACAGCTCGGTCCTCACCCCGTCGATGAGGCATTGCTACTTCACAATTGTGATGTGTTGGTGAGAGACTTGAGACTACAGCTTCTCAAGCTCCGCAGCAATAAGATCCTCATATTCCTCCTCTACCTCAGAGCCCTCCACCGATGCTGCTTCAGCATCCTGCTGCTTTTTAGCATTATCATGCAATTTTCCAGCATCTTCTTGCAGTTTTTTAGCAGCATCCTCCTCACTGTCATTCATCTCCAAATCTTCCATTGCCTCATCAAGGTTGAGATCAATGTCAGCGGAGGTGTGGGCAGCTTTAGTGGCAACAGGGGGACCATCCTCCCTAGTAGCTTCCATCTCTTGGCTATTAGCCATGGATGGGTCAAGGAATGTTACTATTTATAGATCTTAAATATCAAATGTTGGAAATCTTAATGTTCCGTTTAACCTCTTTACCAAATAATGATGGAGGATCTGTCCCTTTAAAGAACACTCTTAACAGAAACTCTTATGATGTTGTTAACAAAAGATTCTTGTTGTTCAACATTCTATCACCTTAGTGATAGAGTAGGTATAATATATCCCCAACAAGACCTTAAGATCCAGAAGAGTCATCCACCAAGGAATTGTGGGCAAGAGAGAGTTCACTCACTTAAGATGTGTAGCTTGAAGAACTTGTAGTCTTCAACTCTACAAGTTTTGATATATACTCTTCAAGATTATTAAAAAGCTATTCGGGGCCCTTGGCTCAAAGAGAATGCATCTATACATAAAAAAAAAAACTTAGATACCAATGTAACATCCTTGCCCTTTTAACAAATGTGTTGCATGCTTTAAATAACAGATTTTGTAAAGTTGCAATACAATGTCTTGAAATTACAAGAAATACTCGATGTAATAGTAACCACTAGGTAGATGGCGCGGAGCTCTTGAGTAGAGGCTTGTAGAAGTATAGTTTCAGCCAAGAACACCCTTGGTTGAAGAACTTGTCACTTGAGAAAGTAGAGCTAGCTAGTGTTTAGGAGAGGAAGAAAATCTCTTTGGCGAAATCCCATTTCCAATGTTGTTTAGTTGGAAGTTGGAATTGGGAGAATGAGCCTGCTGGCTCAGACCCCTTCCAAGACCTCCTTGGGGAGCTCCTCCTCCTCCATGGCCTCAAGGTGGAGGAGCTCCTAAGGTGGGGTTGCTTAGGTGGCATGAAATGTTGCAAAACAATGAGCACTTTTAAACAATTACAAGATAGAATGACAATTACAAGATAGAATGTAACAATATGGCTACACAATTTTGGTTGGTTGTAACTAACCAATGTGAGGGTTGGAACGTTTTCCAGCCTGACTTGTCCTTTTGTGGTGGTTGGTTACAATTGTTACCCAACCTAACCACTCTAGCTTCCCTGCACACATTTCCCTCGACACTTGCTAGCTAGTATAGGTCGCGCTTAGCATAGTTAAGCGATTATGAAAGTGGGGAGTTGTAGACTAGGTAATCCGTTTCATCTCAGCTGCCTAGATAGAAATAGTTTTGGCTGTCTAATAAGGGAAGGCATGCCACCAACCGTATGATTATTTCTAGGGAAGAAAGCGGTGATGGAGTGAAGGGCAATGTTGGTGAAAAAGGACATGTCAAGGATATGGCATAGTGCGGTGAATACACGGGAAAGGTGCAAACACACAGGGGGGTACAGTGGTACGACTGACCAGGTCGATCACGGCGTCCTTGACGGTGATTCGGATATCCTCATACACCTGCACGCAGCACCACGCACGCGACGCCACACCACGGGGCCACACACACGCGCAGCCTTGCGATCACGCGCCATGGACGAGGGGAGAGACCGCACGAGACAGAGGAACGCGAACAGTAAGACAACACAAATTGCTTAGCGCACACGAAGAAGCGAGAGGAAGGCAGTAAGTCTCAATATATATTGATGTTTGCAAGTGGCAAGATGGAAGACGCGGCAACACGTTTGTACGAAAACCATGTCGGCCTAAACTCTGAGATGAGCGCAACAACCACGCGCCACGTCTTTCTCACGACTGAGCCTGTACGTGATGAACGACATGTATTCCAATGTGTTTTTCGCGAAGCTGTGGGGGATATCGCACATCGGGCTGGTATGGAACCGCGGGACTCCGTTCAACCTGCTGACCAAGGGGAAAGGCGCGTGGGCTGGAAGTTTTAGCCGCGCGTGTTACCTGTATTGTACTAAGGAAGTGACGGGAAGCTAAAATGGGATGGGATCACCGAAACGAAGCCACACCAAGTACCGCGCTAGGAGAAATGAGGGTCAAGGAGGAATATACAAGGGGCACAGAGAGGTCAAGAGAAAAATACTATAGGCGTGTGAATCGCGGAGGTACTAGGGTTACTGTGCTCTTACTGTGGTGGTGCTCTACTCTTCATGCGAGTGTTATGCTGTGGGGTGCTGTGGTGTGCAATCTGTGTGTTGTCGGTTTGGTTGGTCGCACGCAACGACAATTCTGCCAAATATGTTTTCTAGGTGTGGAGGTGTTCCATGCTTGGGGGGGGGTCGTTTGGAGTGTGCCTCGACGAAGAGGGGTTTCTCTACCTTCTTCCCAAACTGCTCATCACAAACTCGCCCCTCGTTACCCAATCACAGGCGCCTCTGTCCAACCAAGTGTAATACAGTTGTAAATATGAGACCCGGGTTTTGATGCTGTTACTTTAGGAATGTTTACGCAACAGTTCCATATTGTCACATTTGTTACAACTATTCATTTCCTGCAAGCTAGATACGGTGTTTGCTACAACTGTTCGCTCATTGGAAGTCAGATAGTTGCCTGGTCTTATGAGGTTTAGTTGCTAATATAACGATTATTTACTTATGTTGCTTAGAGAATCTTTAGGATGACATGAGATATTGTAATCAGTAACGGGATTCGTTCAGGATTGTACAATCGCTTATTTCATTTTTTAGGACTACATAAGAACCAACCGCGTGAGCGGGTATCCGCGCCCAAACACGAGGAATGGCTTAGGGCGACGTCAGGTTGCAAACTTTTTGTATGCTCTCTGCGGCCAAATTCGTTTTGTTAATGTGCAAAACGGTAAACCTTGGGGACCGCTTTTCACCATGTGAAATCGTCATGAGCCACGATACAAGAACTATGAAAGTACAAGAAGTTGTACTACAGATGATGCTCAGCCCATCACAAAATATTTGCCCATCACATTTAGTCCGAGCGTTTTTGCCCGTCATTGGAAATGTTTACCTGGTTACGAACTTAAACATTGCCATTCCACTTTCATTTTACAATCACTTTTCTGCCCGTGGCAATAAAGGTGAACTAAGCAAAATGCATAAACTCGTTACACTCATTCCCCGCCCGGCTTCCTGGTGTTCTACAAACGAGCATTGACTATACCTGACGTTGCCTTTAACTGTATGCAAGAAAGCGCTGCGCTTCATGCTCAACCGCTTTCACCCCCCTACAATCAAGCAAACATCAACTCGGTCACAACAACAACCCTTCTCCTTTCTTCCTATTAGAAAAATCCAACCTTATCCTGCAGATTTTCTTGTCCTTTGACGTGCGTACTGCGGAGACAACTCTAACAACGGGAGCTTAGACTACTGGCAAGGCACAGGGTAGCAGTGATCGGAGCGTTCGTTCCTTAGTCGTTTGCTTGTGTTCACTCTATGTGCATATTCACGGGGAAACTTGGCAAGAGTTTCACTAGCAAAAGTTGACAACAATGGTTCAGGAATAATAGCCACAAATTTGACAAGGCCGCCTACATCAGAGCTAGCATGAAAGCAGGTCAACTGCCAGCGCAGCACGATAAACCGCGTCCAAGCGCTGCAAAGCTCGCACTGCTCCAGCACTGCAGAGCAGCGGCTTGCCAACGTCGCAAGTCTGCGGTGCGCCAACGCTGCAGCAAGTCGGCTGCACAGCGTTGCACCCGCATGACAACGGTGCACCTGCTTCGCAGGCTCGCATGGCTGGTTGGTGTGCCACGCCCCGTCACGTGCATAGCGGCAAAGAAGCGGCGATAAGTGCTGAATTAGTGTTGGTGGCAGACGCCAGGTAGAGAACATACCAGCGACTGCGCCCACCAGCCACGTCGACCTCGGGATACCACTTCCGAGTTCGTCTTCGCAGGAACCACCGGGGCGACTGTCACGCACTTCCGGTGATCCACTGTCGCTCGGGGAACCTGGTCGACTGGGCAACCACCAAGGCGGCGTCGGCTTGTGTGCTTGGCCTCGACCAGCTGCTTCTCCTCGTGCTCATCATCCACCCAAGTTGACGACCCCAACCAGGTCGACCAGCCCATCTGTTAGCCGACCACACCACGTCGGCTTCCTCCAGATCGGCGTCACCAAGTCGACGCCACCGAGGTCAACCTCGCCAGGTCGACCACCCGAACTCGTCGCCCTCCAAATTCGGCACCCGAACTGGTCAAGGAGCTTGTCGTTGACCACCCAAAATCAGCGGCTTGTAGTGGCCTCATGCAGGTTGACCTAGCCAGTCGATGAGCTCGCCCAAGTCGGCGTCGCCCACTGCTGCAGGTCGGCTGCACCTCCCGCACACCCGACCACGAGGTCGGCTCCGCCCAAGCAAGGACAGGGCCAGCAACAACTCCCGTTGACACTCCGTTACCGCGTTCACGATTGCCCCCCCCCCCCCCCCCCCGGCCCACACGGCAGCACTACTCGGAGAATAGCCCGTCGGCGTGCACCCAACACACAGCACGCCATCACCACACCATCCATGCAAAAGTCATCACCTACTGCTGCACATGATCGTCGTCGTCGCCCACGTCAGCCAGGCGTACTTGGCCGATTGCAATGGAGCACCGATTGAAGGCCGGGTAAGTGCCTTCGTCAGGAAGTCGGCCGGCTGCTCGGTGGTCGGGATGTACTTCAGCGAAAACTTCCCGCGCTTTACCGTGTGCTGCAACCAGGCGTAGCGTCGCTCCATATGCTTGAGGTTTTCCGTCAGCCCCATGCCCTCGGCGACCGTGATGGCCGACTTGTTGTCCACCCGAAGGACGGTAGGCGTCCCGGTGTCCAGCTGCCGGAACTCTGCAAGGAGGAAGCGAAGGCGGCGTCCCTCCTTGCCGGCTTCGGTGGCCGCGACGTACTCCAACTCGGTCTACAACAGCGTTGCGCACTTGATGCGCTGGCTCGACCAGGAGACCGCGGCCCCTCCGTGGAAGAACACATAGCCGCCCGTGCTCGTCCGGTTCTGCTTGTCGCCGGCGTCGTCGGCGTCAACGTAGCCGACCAGCTCCAGCGTCTCTGGTCCACCGCCAAACTCCAGGGCGGTGTCACGCGTGTTGGCGAGGTAGGCGAGGCAGCAGTCGACCTCGCGCCAATGTTGGTC